GTCATCTGCTAAGGTCATTAGTCCCGTATGTATACTGCATGTTGTAATTACGGGAAGTGGTGGTGTTCCTACCCTGCTGGATGGTGAGATCTGGTGCCGGCCTACACATCAGCTAGACGGAGATTTCCCCCAAAAGGGTACCGCCCCCCCCCAAAAAAAAAGCTCTAAGCTCCTTATTGGTTTCCCGACGTTTGTGGTAGTGTAGGGCATGGAAGTGTAAATGTGTTTGGGTAAAGGGAGAGAATAGGTCAAGGAAAGATCGCGCGCTGTTCGTGTCCAGTTTGTTAGCCTGATTTTGATTGAAAAAAAAAACACAGAAAACTACCGATCCGAGCTACCTGTACCTACAATCCTTCTCCAGGCAGCGTCTGAACCCGACGTAGCTATCGAGGGTCAAAAATTTGCCTCTCGGGACTCACACCCTAGGACCTACCGGTCAGAGACAGATGCTGGCTCTCAGCTAAACTTAGCCTGTCCCAACCCTCGAACCGGAGGTCGTTCGAAACGCACCCACCACATCGGCTGCACTGCCTCACCTCCCAACCACCGCTGGCGACCTCGAGCGGGCGGCTTTATTCATTACCGCATTACCCACGCAAACAATTTTCTGTTAGCGGAGATATACTAAATTACATCTGCTAGGTACGTGGCCTGCTGTAGCCCGTACCGCTATCTGCGGCGTCTCCATTAGCCCGAGCCCGGATAGGGGGGCGATGGAAAGCGAGTGGAGGGAGAGGGGCGGCGGAAACATCAAATTACCCGCGTTCGCCTCAAAATTGCCTTTCACCGCCGCCGAAGGCCGCTTCCTCCGCGCGCCTGCGCTGGGCGAGTGGGGGCGGCGGCGGCGGCGACGGCGGAAGCATGCACGGTCGGAAGTGGGACTGATGGTGAAGTCGGTCGAGGTGGTGATATAGCATTAGTAGTGACACTTTTGTAAAGAAGCTGTGAGAGGTAGAGATGGAGGGGAGAAGCGTGTAGGGGTGTTGGGAGAGCAATGGTATGTTGTAGGGATATAGTGATAAGACGCAATGGCAATAGTTGTGTAGGTAATGTAGGTAGTAATGTTGCTGTGATGATAGTGGTGAGAAATACCTATTGTAGTTGCGATGGCAGGGGTTTCGAGTAACTATACGCTATGTAATTAAACTGCAGGTCATGCGCTGGAGTTTTTATTCTGATCCCAGTACCCATGCTTCGGCCATCCCTGGAAAGGATAAATGATTTGTAGACTAGGTGGTAATGATGTTCACTTGGTATGAATGAGAGTAGATCAATTCGTGGAGTGAGAGACAGAACAAACGGAAGATCTTCGAGGAAACATACCACAAACCCGCTTTGTTCGTTACAATCCCCACATAAAACACCAACACGATTTCAACCACGGAGCTCAGAGGTCCATAGCAAATGATCAGAGTTCTATAAAACGTGACGCCCTACTTTGCAAGCATAATTTCTTTATTATGATGTCAACGCCTTACGGGATTCTAAGAATGTTCGAAAAATTTGATGGCAATAAATGATGAAGATTTTTTATATAAATTATGATGGAAACATTGTGCAAGGAGAGATATGGGCAGAGGGCGAAATCCTAGAGAACTTGTTTGGTTCATCACAAATATCACATGGGTCGACCGGATCTGAACTCCGGTTCCAGCGATGGAAGTTGCGTGATTTGTCCAAGGATCCTCCGTACACATCAATGTGAGTGCGAAACATATATTCCCTCCCATATCACCATTTTTCAATAAACAGGTCCCGTTCACCACAGCCATCAGAGCCACGGACACCGTCCCTCACACATCCGCCGCCAATGTCACCGTCACCGCCACCGCCACCGCCATTGCCGATGCTAGCGCGTACACAGCCCCACTACGAACAAACACTCCGATTCCCCCAATCCGATCCCTTAACGGCTCTTGTGAATGAGGGAGCGCCCCCTCAACATGAACTGGAATCTGTTCCCCCTCAGCCATTGGACAGTCCACAACAAGATGGAGCGAGGAATAACTCGATCGCTTACCTCAGAAAGTATTAATCTTATGTCATGTGTTTCTCTTCAATCTCTCTTTCCTTTCCTTTTAATGTTTCCTTACGAATGTCTTTACACCCAGATTATGTGTATTCATTTGATACAAGCCCTGAAAATCAAGTCGAATATGGAGAAACAGTTAAAAATGAATCTATAAGCACTTAGTGCTAGGTGTTAACGGAAGAGGTCTTTATTTCATTTGCGCCACTACGCGTCAGTAAATATCTACATCATGAGTTAATACCATTTTGCCATCAGCTCTAATGAAATTCATGTATTTTAATATGTGCTCCGTAAATTATGTTGAACCAAAAATCAAACCGGAGTACTCTATTGAGCTAAGAGTTCTCGTATGAAGAGCAGCAAAAAAGGATAAGAAAGAATTTATTTATAAATATTTTAATCTAAGTCGCTTACTTTTATGCAGATTACTAAACTACGTTTTTTAATTTGAAGAAATGAATATTTAAACATATTATAGTGCACTACGTCTTAAAGTACATAATAATTTGAAGACTTACTGGTTCTATAGGTCAAAAGTATCTTACAATATGTTTTAACTTCTATATTCGCAATGGGAATTTTCGTCACATTACGAATATATTGATTTTATGCCGTTGAGACCACGTAACAAATAAACGCATTCTTCAGCGTCCATAATAAACGAACAAAATATCTAATGCATCTAAACAAACAAATCACGGTGATTCAATTCTAGAGGAAAAAGAACCAACTGGAGGAAACAAACGACGGATGCAATTTGCTTTGGTTTTTCGCTTCGTTTTTTGATACGTCACGCATGGATTCACAAATATTTGATTTCGTGGAACAATACGTGACGGTTAGAGCAGCACACATCGCAAAAGACGTTTGCTCTGTCGCGGTTTCTGTAATGATAAGTAGGTTATTCTCTACAAATACCTTGTTTGCGATAGTACAAGAAAACATTAAGCATATCCTTTCCATATCTTTTTGACTCACGCCAGTTCATAGCATCCAACCTAGTACCTACACAGTACACACCACGCTAACTATCAGACAATTGTACGCACTTCTTTTCGTTTACATTCTTCTTACATTACATTTTTCACCTTCTATACTACTAACGCTTCAGCCACTCATCCAAAAATACATACATAAAATAATTCAGAATTTCAGCCAATGAATTGTATTTTGCCTTACTTTTACAACAAGGGAAAAACTACTTTGCCTAGAATTTGAAACACGGATCTACGTATGGCAATCGCAAGTTTTAGTGTTTACCATTTGTACACCACAAAAACAATATTCATTTACTGGAATATAATACATTAGAAATGATCTTGGCTATTGCACAATCAAAATTACGTGAAAAATACGAATATTTTCAATACTGTACACGAAATTTGTTGAAGATGTAATATTTAGAACTACTATTTACAAAGAAACCTCTAACTTCAATATAAAGTTTGTAAAAATGTGTTAAAGAACATACGCAATATTATTAAGAGAAGTTGATTATTTAAAAAAAATTGCAGCTTATTTTGAAAACATCTTGTTTTTAATTCTCACATTTCACTCAAAATTACGCCATCATGATAACACTAATATTACAGAAAGTCATTTACTACATAATAGAGCAAACATTTTCCATTTTGTGCGAATCGCGGATAAGACAAGATTTTCTTTTAAAAAAGTGCTTTCCCTCTGAAGTACTAAACTGTTTTCTTTATATTGCGTAGCAGTTTTCGAAAATGAAAAAAAACATATATGATCCCATAAATACTTTGAAGTTTCCTAGTCATCATTCTATCAAATGAGGACTGTAAGAACGGAATAACAATTACATTATGGTTAAAAAAACAACAGAAATGCTTATGAAAGTACAAGATTTTCGCCCTGAGCCCGGGACTTGTAAGAAATTGTAAGAAGGCGTCGCTACAAATCAATAGAGCGCATTCGTTCCAGGTGGCGTGTCAATGCGGCGACTTCTCGACAAATACACTTTTACACCGCAGAGACCGCCATAGCAAATGCCAAAGGTACTTAGAACGGAATGTCGTTTTCCAATTAGTCTCTTAGCATGTGTCCTTGCCGGCAGGCAATGAATGGAAACGGGCACGCCATGTGGAGCGTGGAGCCCAGTCGTTGCCAAATAACTCCGAGGAAGGTGGAGTTACACCGTAGTGCCCCTGAACAGGCTCACGACATCGAGCTGGATGAAGGAAGGGCCACGTCGGAAGTCATTTCACTCGCCGTAATTATATTTCTACACCGTTCAGTACACGACGTGATTAATAACAATTTTTATCTTATTGGTCTAATAAAACGATCAATCTTCTCTAGTGATTTGTTTGCTTTTATCGCAGTGCAAGACTTTATGTTGCGACAACGGAAATGCTATGCTATTTTGCTCTAAGCTCGAGACTCTTGAATTTATCGGAACTTTCCACTGCACACGTGGTATTACCCAGAATTATTTTTGTAATCCAGTATTATAAATAACCATTAAAGAAATCGTGTAAGAAAATTGTAAGAAATCGTTCATAAAATGACAACTTACTTCCCAAAATATGGCGTATTGCATTATCAAACATTCAGCCAATCCCAGAGTGAGAATCGTGGAGAGGTAGCCATAACCAATAGCCGACCACGGTCTATCGCACAAATGTCAAATACGACGATACAATAAAGTTATTTCAAAAAATTAATTTCGATTCTCTTATAAAGTTAACGCTGTTATAAAAAAATAATGTATTTAACTTGTTTACGTTACGTATTGCATTCGTACAAATTTCAAAACTCGCTCGTTTTCAAAACTTGTACTCATGGAATAAAGCTTCACATTATAAAGTACTCGTAGTTGCATAATATACTATGGTAAGTAATGATAAATTCAAAACCCCGGGACGGACTGGTTGCTCAAAGACCCGCCAGGTGCGGCATACTGTAGCAGAGTGAAAGGCGCCGAGTGGGCGAGTGAGACGCTCACCTGGTGAAGACGTCCGGGTAGTGCGTGCGCGTGAAGGCCTTCTCCAGCTCCTCCAGCTGGAAGCTGGTGAAGGTGGTGCGGTACCTGCGCTGCTTGCGCTTGGGCGCGAACTCGTCCAGCTCGCCCTCCTCGCTGTTGTGGTCGCTGGCGTTGCTGGCGCCGGGCCCGGCGGCCCCGCCGCCCGCGCCGCCCTTCTCGTCGGCGGGCGTGGGCGTGTGCGTGGGCGGGCGTCGCTTGGGCGGCGGCCGCGGGCGGCGAGCCGGCCGCCGGCGGGGGCCGAGCGGCGCGCCGTCCTCGGCCGCCAGCGGGCCGGGCGCCGGCCCCGCCGCCGCCGCCACCCGCGCCGGGCCCACCGCCGCCCGCGCCGCCGCCCGCGGCCGCGGCGCCGCCGCCGCCGCTTTCTTCCGATACGCCATGGCCGTCGCGTGGAAGGCCGGCAGCAGCGCCGGTGCCAGCACTGCGTCCGGCGCGTCGCGCTAGCGCGTTTTCGGACGCTGTCTCGCTAACGCAGCCTGCAACAAGCACACACGACATTTGGAACATGCTTCCTACAGCATTGCTTTCCGCATTTGGTGGTAACAATACGTTCTTAAGCTAAATATTTTTAATATGATAGAGTTTTACTGACAGGACATCGTTTGGGTTCTCACTTTTTTCCCAAAATAACGAATTTAAAAAATAATAATACAAGATTATGATTATAGTGATTCAGATGTAATGTTTCAAGGGTATTTTGCAGATAATAAAGGTATTTTAATTTTAAATAAAATACTTTCTATTTTAAACTTTTTTTAAATGCAAACTTGTTCGTGAAGATAAGAGTCGCTTTAGATCCGCGAATGCCTTCACGGGGGGGGGGGGGTATTAAAATATGTTTTTGTCGTTTGTTGTAGTTCCGATAATATTAATAGTGACCATGTCTTCTGTAAAGCACTATGGGTGCTCGTTTTCTCTAGTCATTTTCAGTATTTAATTAAATAATAAAAATAAGAATGAGTTTTATCTGAGTCGTAATAGAGCGTAATAGACAAATCCATGAACTGCACAATTTATTTTAAAAATCATGAATATTAAACAGATGGTGTTGGTACATATTGTACGACTCATTAACGAAGGATTAATTTGGCCTTAACTTAATAACAATGGCTAATAAGTCTACTATAAGCGCCAGGAGGATACCATCGGGTAACACTGGGCAGATTTTGAGTTTCATTCATTGATAATCAGGCTTTCCTTAATCACGAGGATTAGCCGACTGCATGATCATGATTTCATCTCTTTGGATAATTTTGTTGTTTGGGAATGATAATTTGTCGTCTGTGTTTACGTGGCCTTTTAGACATCCCTCTATTGAACCAGAGAATAAGAGTGTTTACCTTGGTATGGGTGCTCTATTGTTTTAATAGTTATGTGCCCTTTTCGGCGAAGTCCACCTATATGAGAGGAGAGAAATAAATGCCTGAAGCATTTCTGCTCTAGAATACCTCTTATTCCCCACGACAATTGCAGTCAGTGAACCCCGTCTGTTTTTCCGGCCAAAGCGGCAATTTCATTTTGTAGGTCTGCACTGATGAACGCCACAGGCTGATAATTCATGCAAATGCGCGCGCCCGCTGCGCCCAAACAAGCGCGCGCACACCCGCATTCCCGGCAGAGTGAGGCGTGTGTGTATTGATGTAGATGTGTGGTATGTGTGTGTAAATATGTGTATGGGTGAACGTGGTGTTTGAATGTATGTGTGTGAGTATGTATTTAGTGTGTAGTGAAATGTGTGGGTATGTGTGAGAGATTGTGTATGTGGGTGAATGTGTGTGTGTGTGTGGTGTGTGGGTGTGTGTTGGGTGGGTGGGTGGGTGGGGAAGGGGTCGAGCCCCTCCTAATGCGATATATTAGCGTGCACTCCCCGAAGTCGCCGCGCGGAAAATTGCATGTTACGCATCGCGTGCGGCGAGCGGGCGATTAGGAGTTATCCGTTTGTTTCCTTAACGAAGTCGCCGCACCCGCCGGCCTGAGCTTACAGGGCAGGTAGCAGCGACAGCATAGGCCGGAACCACAGGCACCTGGGTAGCAATCCCTCTCCAAAAAATTCTAATTATAAATATATCTAGTGGAAAGTACCACAGTGCGCTGCGATACCTTCACCAACACTAGTACTATTACGTTAATTACCTTGTATCATAGTTACTGATTAATTTGTATAAAATATATTGTAAGTTTGCTTCCGTATCAAAACAAAAAATCTTAATGTTCTTACTTAACAAAACATACAAGGAGAAAAATGATTCGATGAACTTTTCAAAATTAAGACAATAAGAAAAGGAACAATTTTATTTATTCATAATAAATAGAAATTTTACACATGCTTACGTTTAATTATTTGGGCGACAAAATTGGGTTGCAAGTTTTCTAGAAATTAAACACTTCATTATAATCCAAATAATCACGAATGAAAAGTCTCACTCGTTTAGAGCCCCTGCTCTTCACCATTGTTACTTTGAACAACATGAACGATTCTGTTAGTTGTTACATAAAGCGAATTTTGATTAACAAAGAAATATACTTAATGTATAGAATATATCGCATGTTTTTTTGTGTGGTTCAATGATATTGACGCAGTCGGCTCAATGAAGTGCACATAAATGTTAAACGCAGTAATGTCTCTAGCGAGGTATGTCTGAGGTGGTATGTGAAGTTGACAAGCAATCAAGTTCGTTATTTTCGATACCGTACATGTGTCTTTCACGTTTCACAATACTATGTTATCCGACAGAAAAGTTTTTTAAAAAGAAACCTTCTTGAGATGTGTCACAACTGTCACAAAGGCGAGCAAGGGGAAGAGCTTGATACAAATTGACGTTCTTGCAACACGTCTGTGATAAATATCATGAAATGAACGTTAAACTAGAAACGAATCTTAAAAATTAATCAAAAAAAATAATATGAGATTGCATTTAAGAAAAAATGTTTTACGATGTATATGAAACGTCTCAATTTGTAATTACGTCACTTTTCCAGACAAAAAACTAAAATCACTTTCTGTGATCGTGTGCGTTCACCAACGTACTTTAATGTTCCCAAAGGAAAACACAAAATTCAGGAATGAAACGTTATGGAACACAGGGGAATTCGAAACGATTCGGTGTAACTGGTAAGGCATCGGCGCTGCGGGGCGCGGGTAAATTCAGTCAGTTATCATCATTGTTCTATCAACATCATCAGCGTTTTAATGTCAATTTAACTTTTCCGTTATCAGCTGACGCTCTCTTCTCTTAGTTAATACATCTTGTTTTACACTAGAGTACCTTGACCCTAGTCTCCTCTCCGTAACTCCGGGTGTCACGTAAGCGCATTCCACTGAGAATTGTCACCTGTCTCTCGCGACTCGTAAGTCCGCATCAACCATACACCAGGCAGGGAGATTTTGTGTCTACCATCGTACGCCGTAGCTGCCGCTGTCGCAGTCGTCGTCACCACCACGCCAGAGGACCCGGTCCAAATGCGTCAGTCGAAATCCGCGTTTCCTCGTGGGGCGGCGCGCGAAGTCCCGAGAAGCGGAGGTCAAAGGAACGTAATGACAGCTCGCGGGCACCAAGGCCGCGCGTGCATGCCGCACCGCACCGCTCCGCACCGCCCCGCGCCGCAACGCTCCGCACCGCGGGAGGTCGTTGCGCCGCCCGCCCGCCCGCGTCACGCGCCGCCCCGGCCCGGCCCGAGAGGTTTTCGACATATCGCGAAAGCACGGAACACTCTACCGACAGTAAAAACCCTGGCACTGCCAGACGTGTAGGATAGTACGTATTCCACTCTGGGTGGCCTCTCGTTCCAGCTTAGATGACTCAGAGCATTAACTGTTGCCACTGCAGGGCCTCTGACCGGCAAGTCCTAGCGTTCGAGTCCCGACGGGGGCGGATTTTCGACAGATACATAACTAGATCGAATTCAGTTTCTGTCTGAAGGAAAATTCTAGTGGCCTTCTACTCTTATTGCTGATTTTCCATGGTTGTTCCTATCCATACAAAGCGAATTCTGTAGCAGTACCTTGAAAAAGGGCCACTGATCGCGCGCGATCTATCTTTCCTTTTTCTTGACCACTTCTTTCTCCTTAACCATAAGAACGCACGCACGCAAACGCACGGACGCACGCGCACACACACACGCGCGCACACACACATACATACACACTTCTATGAACCGCACTATTACACATGTCGGCAGCTTTTGAAATTCGGCCACCGATCCAGGAGTGACGCATTGAATAAAATAAAGTTATCGTATCATCAGTTATGAATGAATGTGTAATGTGTCCAATAGATATGTATGTAATTTACAATTTAATTATAAGCATTTAATTACATAAAGTATTATGTAAGTTAGTGGATTTCAAATTCATCCACTGAATGATAATTATGGGTAGTCAAAAACATGTCTTGGCAGTTGTTGGTGCATAATTCGTTTGCTAATTTTGAATTGTTTAGCTGATGGATTATGAAATTTGAGGATAGATATTTTCACCTTGACACATGAAGGGAGAGAGATCATTTTGGTCATCGTCACTGGCTTATTAAGTTGCAATTTTTGTACCGACATAAATAACATAACTTTTTGCCGTTTTCAACGGAACGTTTATTTTGTCCATCAATAAACTGAATATTCGCCTTCTAACAGAGAAACCTCGCGACGTCCTCCTTGTACCCGGTCCATCTTCTCCCTGCTTTTCCGCAAGTGAGGTGTCTCGAGCGCTCCCGCGTTTTTCGCTGCGCATACGAATGCGGGAGGGGGCCATGTCCCCCGGCGGGCGAGGGCCGCTGCGGCGCCGCGGTGGCGCCTGCGCAGGCAGCGTCGCGCGCGTCCATTAGGGCCGTGGCACAACTTCCTAATGGGGCCCTTATCGCGCGCCCGGGTGGCGCCTAAGAAGGGCGCCGCGGAGGACGGCGACGGGCAGCGCGGCAGCGGGCTGCGGGGGAAAGGAGTGGGCGGCGCCGCGGAAGGGGCGGGCGATGGTGGGACGGCGGGGCAGCGAGGTGGTGCGGGCGAGCGGCGGAATATCGGGGAGGAATGGACGGGTGACTGGGCAGTAGGGTGGACAGGGTGGACGGCAGGACGTCTGGATAGATGGACGGCTGGACAGCTACAATGCTTGATTGCAGGACTGTTGGATTGCATGCCTGCTTGATTGCAGGCCTGCTGGAATGCAGGCCTGCCGGATTGCAGGCCTGCTGGATTGCAGGCCTGCTGGATTGCAGGCCTGCTGGATTGCAGGACTGCTGGATTTCAGGACTGCTGGATTGCAGGACTGCTGGATTGCAGGCCTGCTGGATTGCAGGACTGCTGGATTGCAGGACTGCTGGATTACAGAACAACTGGATTGCAGAACTGCTGGACTGCAAGACTGCTGGATTGCAGGACTGCCGGATTGTTAGATTACTAGAATGCTAGATTGCTGAACGTCTGGATTGCTGGACGGTGGAACGGGGGG